CTCTCAATTGAAGGGACACTTTAGCTCATTGTATGCCTCATCGGTTTGTTAGGAATGTGTGGAGCACTCAATGTGTGGAGCACTCAATGTGTGGCCGACGCTCACCGGGGGATTCAAGAGTAAGATACGAAACATAGGTGTCTTTCTGATTTGTTTTTTAGAATAAATTATGTGAGACTATTTCACTTTTTTGCTATTTTTCCTTTTGTATTTACTTATTACTTGCACTATTTTGTTGTGTTTATCTGTTGTATTGTGTTGCTCTGTTGGAGGAGCCTGTGACCTAAGATTTTAATCGTCATAACTACACTCTATGCACATATGACCAATAAAAGCCTTGAACCTTGAGACTATATCCGTGCACAGCCTTTATTAATCAGAAAAGGCCTATTTCTAACTTTGTTTATTCGTCAGCATGTGTTGGTGTGCTTGTAAATCTGTTACTAAATGAGTGTGTCTGCTCAAGGTCAAACCCCATCGTAAATAAGATTCTTATCTGATGGCGTCTAACAGCTCTATTGACAAAAGACCTACAGTAGAGCAGGTGTTTAAACACACAGAAGCAAACGAGCTAATGCTGAACTTATCTGGTCTGGTTGTTAGTTGCCTGTCACCAATTTTCGCTTCACAAAAGCTTCCTGTTGAGGTCAAGGGAACAGGAGTTGGAGCCAATGAAGGCTGTCAATTTCTTACCAGGAAATTGTCCCTGATTTCTCAAACCATTATCCTTTTATGGGGAAAACATATTTCTAGAGTCAAGACAATTATCTAAGACAACACCGTATATTTAGAAATTGTGTGTTTGGATCGTACGAATTCCACTTTTAACAATCAGCTTTAAAGGGTGCAAGTGTCACAGGTCTCCAATTTAATGTGTTCTCAAAACAGTTGCCCCCAAATGCCTTTTCCCAAAGGGATTGTGCATGTGTTTTCATCAACAGAAAGTCATCCATCTTTTAAGGGAAACTAGCAACCACAACCTATTCAACCTACTGTTGCAAAGTAGCGTAACTTTTTCACTTTTTAAAAATGGTTCGAAGTCACTGTTGGGCATTTGGCTTTAACAGCCAATCCCACGATCAACAAATCAACAAATGAAATCTAAATGAACCATGGGATAACGTAAAGAACACAAAATAACCATACAGTTAGAAAAAGGCTCTAGGCTAAGGTCGTTACACATGTAAAATATAACGTAAAGCACCCAGTAAAATACAGTTATCAACACACAACGTAAGACCCTCACAGCTACTTAAAGGTCCCATGTCATGGCCTGATCATACTGATACTGATCATAATTCAATTGTTGAGGTCTACTAGAATAGATTTATATTGTGCAATTTTCCAAACTCACATTGGTTTCTCATACAGCATCTCTGTATAGTATGTGTATTCACTCTCTGTCCTAAACGGCTTGTTGGAGCTCCTACCCCCCCCTCCCTGTGAGCCCAGTGGCCGTCTGCGAGACACAGCGAAACCCAGCCCGAAACCAGCCCGAACACACACACACACCCGCAGCCTGGCTGGGAGTTTTTAAGAGAGAATGTTTTTAATTTAAAAATCATTGATTGTAACTTTTTTATAATATTTTGCTGGGCCGAGTTTGCTCTCAAATCAATGTAAATGTGGTCCTGATGCTGGCACAATGAATTGATGCCTCTGCCTGTTTCTTCACACTGGAGTTGCCTTGTGTTTTCGATCATGTTGCTCACAATCACTCCCTGTAAATGTGAGTGAGACTTCATACAAGGATGTCAAAACGTTAGCTGTGAAAAGCAATTTATTCTTTAAAGCCACTGCACACACTTATGTGGATTTATTCTATACAGTAGCTCCTGCAAAATGGACATGTGAGTCATCGCAGATTTCTAGTTCTCTACAGTCAATATCTAATATCTCTTCTGCAGACAAATGGAAACAAAAGCTTCCTTCAGCCACACCTTGCCCCTCCCCGCACAAATCCATCTCAACCTGCTTTATTCATCAACCCTTCTCCCCCTCACTGTGCGGCTGTCTTTCTCAGTCAAATACATCGCTCCAAGGAAACAATCATGGGACCTACATGCCTGGCTTTGCTGACTAATATGTATCCCAGATGCACACAAATCATGGGAATTCTTTCATACTTTTAGCCTTTTCTTAAATTATTCTCTTGAGAACAGTTTGGTCAGTTGACGAGGATGTTGGAATAGGACTAAAAAGTGAAATAGATTGTGTCAAAGAAGCTGCCGACATGTGAAAGAGTTCACGCTGATGGGACAAACACTGGGGGGCCTTGCTTCCTCTTTTCTCATCCATCAGCATAAGCATGATGTAAACTAGATTGATGACAGCGACATTGCAGCTGCAAGGTAACGGGTTTCCCACTGAGGCCACACCTGCTAAAATGTTTGCAGTCATGGTTCTGCTAATGAGCTTTGGATGTAAACGTCCTCCAAACTGCAAACGTAGAAGGAGAGGGAATTTGTCTCCAGTTTACAGTAACGTGGAGCCCACCTGCTGCAGAGCGTGACTCTGACGTGTGTGGGTTCAACACCGCCTGGAGACAAGGTTTCTCTAGTGCTGACCCATATGTTGAAGGAAACAAAGACCCCCGGGGTGACTGGAGAGTCCGTCTGACCCCGTCTGACCTCTGGGCATCCATAATGAGATCTGTGGAGATCAGGAGAGGATGTTTGGGGGGTCATCACAACGAGGGGCTGCTGAAACAGCCGCTCCTCTTCTTCACGTTTGTGTTGTTTTGACAGCTTACTGTGCGTGCTGGGTTCGAGGACCTGGGGTTTGAAAACAAGGCAGATCGAGTCAGCCATTCATAACTTCAGTGTGCTATCTTTAATTTTCTACAAGTTCTGATCGACCTTCAGAAGTTCCTCCATCCTGGTACTGGACACTCAAATGTTCTTTAAGGGACTCGGATGAGTCTGACATGCACGGGAGATCATGCCTTTTATTTGAATTGTTTTTCTTTTAGAACCAATCAAAAGACGTACCTGCTCCTCTCTGCCTTTACATGGTGTCATGGTTCGTAAATGTTTTCTTTAGGTCTAAATATGTTGTTTCCCAATTTATACTGCATGATTATTTTGTGTAAATTGTTCCCTGTAAACGATTTACTAACACTTTTTTTAATTGGAAGCTGTATTTTGCATTGTGATATGTTATTGTTGTGTGTGTGTGTGTGTGTGTGTGTGTGTGTGTGTGTGTGTGTGTGTGTGTGTGTGTGTGTGTGTGTGTGTGTGTGTGTGTGTGTGTGTGTGTGTGTGTGTGTGTGTCTCAGTGGCAGGTGTGCAGACTTTTTCTTTCTGCTTAGGCTTCCTTACTCTTGCGACCTCTACTTGCTCTGTGAAACAGCTTCAAAGAATATTTGGAAATGTGGCAGGGTGTGAGTTATTAAGCATACTGCCAACATGCATATTATTACCAAGCACATATTTGACTTGTTACACATCTGAGTGAACGACTAAGTCCTCAAAGCTCATTTTAAGCTGCAGTCCTTGGGCAGATACAGAGGTATCAACTATTTCTTCATGGAAAGATTAATATGGTGTACACTTAATATGACTGTCATTCACTGAGCAACTAATAAGAATTAAAAAAATAAGCAATTGCATTCAAACATATTACATTTCAAGAAATGTGTCAAATTCTTCAGTCCTAATTAGTTAAAAAACACTTGCTGTAGCTCGTTCAAACCTGTGTTACCTTTCTTAAAATGAACAAACTGAACTCACATTTCTTCAGGGTTGGATGTTATTTGGGCTTATTATTCCTCTGCTTATCTTTCTAGCATAATACATCGTATCAGGGCACAAAAGACTCTCTGGCCAAACTGAAATAGCAACTTTTTAACAGTGGGCTACATTTAATATATGAGTACAATATTTAAATGACCATAAGTGCAGTTTACTATGGTATGCAGTACACAACAATTGCTCAAAAGACATACACAATCTCACCAACTATACTCTATCGTCTCCATCTGTCTTAGGGCTGCACGATATTGGATAAAACTGACATTGCGATTTTTTTCTCGTTGCGATATATATTGCGATATGAAAATATACAGGAATTGAAGAAAAGACAGTTTTTTTTCACGCAAACCATCTTTTCTTGAACTTTAGTGTTATACAATTGGTATTTTTT